ATTATTCTTGCTAGCACGAGAAAAGAAAAACCCTAGCCGTCATTCTTATTCTCTGTGTGGATCACCATTGGAGGCTGGACAATTGGACAGCTTGGATTGCAGATCGTGATCATTGGAGTTCAAGAAAAGCAAAAGAGTTTGTGGAATTCATCAAAGGTATTAATCCTAATCACAGTTTCTATCTAAACACATTGCAGATCCTCGTTTGGGAATTGAAAATTGTTTAATTTCCGCTGTGCATGATAAGTAAATTCCCAACAAAGCAGACTTGAAGTATACTTCAGTATATTGTTGCGGAAGTGACTGGGAAATTTTGATCATGGGTAACGATGAATTTACGGAAAAGCTGGTCTGGTTTGATGAGCTCGACTGTGACAAATATTGGTATATATAAATTTATTTATTTAATTAATTTTGGCATTTTATTTGACTTCAGTTCAATCCTAGACCCGGACACCTTAGCACGATGAATCGAGTATAAAAACATGGGAATGCCTTTATACTGTCCATTGTCCAATATTATAAATTTTATGTCTGTTTTCATCTTATCATGGCCGTGGAAAAACGAGCGAGGGGATTATGCCAAGAGAAAATGACTGAACCGTGAGGAAAAGGAAAATTGACCAATTATTCTAACAGTGTTCTTGACCCCATGCTGGAGAAAAATAAAATGGGAACACAACTTTTTTCCTTCTCTGGTATGCGCATTGAATTTTCCAAGAACTCACCAAGATCCGTATATATATATATATAGAGAGAGAGAGAGAGAGAGAGAGAGAGAGAGAGTTGCTACTAGCAATGGAAGATCAAGTAACACCAGGTTTTAGGTTCTACCCTACAGAGGAAGAACTGGTTTCTTTCTATCTGCGTAATAAGCTTCAAGGAACAAGACTACTGGACATCGATAGGGTTATACCATCAGTTGATGTTTATGATTACAATCCATGGGATCTTCCACGTAAATCAATTCTTTTGCTTTGAATTCTTGCTTTTTTCTATTATTTTTTCTGTTGCTTCGAAAGGTCGCGATGATTAAAATCTTTTCTATTCCTGTACCTCTTCACGTTAATATTACCCTAGGATAGTAAAAGAGTCATCATTATTCAAATTTCTTAATGCATTAAAATGAGTAAATTATAAGTGAGATTCATATTTAGTGGACGCCGAACCACCCAGAAAACTGGGTGGTTTTGATCATGTGAACTTGCTCTTTTACTGTAGGAATTCAATTTATTGATATTTTGGGGGGAAAAACCCAGAATTTGCAGGAGAGCGTTGCCGTGGAGATAGGGAAGAATGGTTTTTCTTCGTTCCAAGGCAAGAAAGAGTAGCCCGTGGAGGAAGACCTAACCGGCTCACAGCACAAGGATATTGGAAAGCAACTGGCACTCCTAGTTTTGTATATTCTTCGCAAGATCGCATAATTGGTAAGAAGAGAACAATGGTTTTCTATGTAGGAAGAGCTCCCCATGGAAGAAAGACTGTGTGGAAGATGAATGAGTACAAAGCGGTTGAATTTGCTGAAGCTTCCTCTTCAACTGCTGCAAATCCACAGGTCTTATAAGAATTATTTTTTCCTTAAAAAATTCATATATTCTCCTGCAAAAGCTTTAATTTTATTGTCATAGGAATAAAGGGAATAACATTGGGACGAGAATCTGATTCAACATATATGAAACAAAAACCATTTTATTTTGAGAATTTAAAAATGTCAAAAAGAAATGGAAAATGGCCTAAACCCTAAAAGTTCCCCAGACATCAGATTTCGTGTTTATCTTTGTAGCTCTCATAAAATCCTCTTTTGTTCAAGATATGGGGATAAACTCTAATTTAATGCTTCTTCTCTTCCAAAAATACACGGTTTCAGTCGAACAATTTCATACTTAACAGTTGCGTCCTAAGAACCAAACTTAGACCATTATCAAGCATCAAGAATATACTCGAACCAACACTTTTGGGAAAGGAAATTCACTACAATCCCAGCACTCCACTCATTCTCTAAAAATATATATATATATATGATTCTGTATAATCTGCATTAGCAAAAAATATATCATTTGTACCTTTTCCTATTCCCAATTTTTGATTCATTTTCTTTTCTCTGCTTTATAATTTCGTGCAGATATGGGAAGAACTCAGTCTATGCCGACTCTACCAAAAAACAAAAAGCGTGAGAGCGTTCGACAGAAGGCCACCACCAGATGAAGTGGCGGTTCACCACCAAAACGTGGCAACAACATCTCAACAAAACCATCCACTAGCAGATGCAACTAATTACTTATTTGACAATTCGTCTTCAGAAGATCACCAGATTGCTAATCCTTTTCTGCCTGTGGAAAGTGTTGAAGAAAATGGACCTCGCTCATGGGACTGGGAATACTTTGATTTTGATAACTGAGTCTCTGATATATATAATCCAGAAATTTTACAAAGGTGTACAAGACAAAATTTATTAGTAGCTAAGATTCTCCTAGGGATATGAATGTGTTATTTTTGTATCCATTGTCAGATAATGGAAATTATAGGGTCCTCTTTTAAAGATATGCCCTATCTGTTGTAGATTAAAATCAGATTTTTAATAAATTTTGAAAAAAATTAATGAAATGTGTGGTTAAAAAGTTGTGGACCCCATGAAATGTGTGGTTAAAGTTAATTGTTGACTTTGACTTAAAATTAAAATTAGATTTTTAATAAAAAACAAACAGGGTAATTCAAATTTGAAAAACATAAATTTTG